GATGATACGGTCAAATATCTCATGGGCTTGTTCCACATCTTGCGTACGTCGGTTCAGCATGAACTTAGGCAGCCAAAAATGATTCGCCAAGTCTTGCCGAACTGCAGAAATCTGGAGTTGCAAATGTTCCGATAACGCGTACACCAGAGAACCTGAGGGGAACAAAATCCAGTGCGGTAAAAAACGAAATAACTCGGATCCAGCATTTGGATGGAGTATGCTATCAAGCAGGGCGACTAGAGCACGAAACGCTTGATAGATAGATTGAATCGCCTCATAGTCACGCTTCGGTTTGGTTGGGAATTGGTGCCCTTTTTTCGATCTAAATCCTGATGTTCGCAATTCGGTTAGCACAAAGTCAGTAACCCGGGTGTAGTGCGTCCGTAGTTCTGTATGCGGATATTCTGTGTTATACACCGTCGCGACTGCCACACTGGTTATAGCTAATGCAACTGCGGATTCATGGAGCGATTGAGTGGCACTTTCAGGCTGTGTACAATGAAGTTTAGTGGTCTGACGATACCATAGGTTGATTGCGAATGCGAAACCAAACAACCAGTCTGGGTTGACGGATTCAACTGTCTTCGGCAAACCAAATAAAGCCTTTAAGATGGCATCCGTACGGTCAACTCGGAAGTTCAACGGATATGGTTCAAGTGAAACGGAGCAACTCTGAGGGGATTTCGGGGATCCCAATAGGACTTCCGATTGGCTTTCATTCAAACCTACTAGTTTTCGTTGATTACGGATTTGTTGTTCCATGCCCAACAGAATACAAGCGGAAAATACTATAAGTGGACGCGCAGATTGGAAGTCAGTGCGCTCAGAAGGTTCCAGTCGAAATCTTTGCTGTGACGATTTGGGCAGATACATGGAAGCTATCAAGGACAAGGGAATTTCGCCTCGCCTGTAGGCCGCAGTAAGTCTGGGAGGCCAACCAGACAGAAGACGAATTTCCCCAGTATCAAATCCGGGGTCCAATCCAGAGGTCGCTGAAGGTGTGCTCGGCTTTACCTCCAGATTTGGGAGAAATCCAGAATCTGCCATTATTGGAGATTGAAGCAGAGAGCACAGACGATCACCGATAGAATGTGGTAAGCACATATACAAAGCACAAGACTCTGTTAGACAACTGCTGTCTCCAGCATACAACAGAGAGGTCAATTGATTACCATGATCTTGATTGGGCTGTTGTATCCACTCAATCAAGTTGTTTAGACGAAAATGGTCGTCCATTGGAGCAACAGGATTCTGACGGGACAGCTGGTTTTGGTGATAAATCAAACCCGCGTTCCACGAGACACCTAACATACAGCGAGAGTTCTGATCCAGTTGGGCGAGAACGGTCGCACGCGGATAGAAAGCGTAAGCGGAGAGCACATCATCTGCACCTTCTGTGCGACTCTTAAGAAACAGGAGAAAGTCATTTGGTACCGTTTTCGGATTCAACAGACGCAGTGGTATGAATGGTACTGACATGGAGGAATCGCCCGATATAATATAGTAGGCATTTTTCGACCCAAGAACCGGACATTGCAATCTCGCTGCAAGACTGCATGCCGCTCGGGATACCGGTTCATTCAGGAAAAAGCGGTGGACCGAATAATATTTGAGGATACCGAGAAGAGTTTGCTGGGCCCTTGGAGCCAGGGCCGACGGGTGCTTTTCCTCCAAGTCGTGAATTATCTGAGTTGTGGAGAAGGAAAGAACGGTTGATCTCTGAATAGCATACGTTGAAGCATTTGGTGGTCAGTAGTCATTAAATCAAATTTCAATCAAACTTAAATTAATTATTTTAAAACAAAGAAAATGCCAAATATATATGTATGTAGTATGTAACAAGTAGCACCTAGGAAAAATTCCCCGGTAGCACACGACCCGTTCCGAGATTAAAAAAGATCATTTAAATCCTTAGCAATGATTCACAAAAGGAAAGTCTAAGATCAGGATGCTCCAAAAATGTACTGTCTGATGCGCAAATCAGAAAAATATGTATACTCCACACCGTATGTAAGCATTTCATACTTAATTTTTCAAACATGCCATGGCACCAGCGTTTGGACTAATATTAAGAAAAATAAACTTGGTGCAAAGAGTGTAAAGTGAGTTCAACCAGATCGAAGTACTCCTAATTTCATTGCACTCATTACAACCGTACCAAACTTTTTATTATGTGAGTGAAAAACGGAATTGTTTACCGACCCGTCGAGCTCGCTTACAAGAGATATCGTTGAGGGTTAACCGAGGGACATACGGGTGAATATGCAACCCAATGGAGTAGTTCGGACGAACTTACACTTACCCTTAGTATAACCATCATGGTATGGTACGAACTCCTATTGTTAGCACGCGTCAACACGTTGCTGCTTGGATTGCTGGTTCTCGTGAACAAGAGTTCACAAGTATTACAGTTCATCTGAATAAAGAATGTACGAAGCCCCACCCCCCCCCACTGAAATGAACAACTGAATTCAATAAGCATTGCTGTTTACGAAACATTTGTCACGAATATGAGGTTTCGGCGGGTCGAATAACCACTGTTCTGTTGTGTTTTCGGGACGTTAACTGTGTTCGAAATGGGTGAATCAATTATCTTAAACAAAACGGATTTGAGTAGTATCAAATTTTAGCTCAGGGAGGAACCTCGGTTTCTTAATTGTAAAACAAGCCATTCGTAAAAAAGAATCCCAAGGAAATTCAGGGTCCAGTTAAAAAATTATTCCATTAGATTATCAGAATTGTGATATGATCGCTAAACCTCCATAATAAAAATTCCTCCTTCTTTTGAAGGAAGCAGGTAATTAGAATCGAGAAAAGGAACGAAATGCGAATGCGTGCGTTCTACGGTCGTCACGTAAGACACTAGATAGCAAAACGCTCCCAGTAGGTTTCTATTTCATGAGATACACCTCTCCATAATGGATGAGTAAAGCAATGAACAAGAAAAAAATTCCGGAACGACACAATGTGGGTATACAACGATAGTATAACTGAAATCGGAATGAGAAATTCATTCAGTGCAGCGTCAATGGCGCTAAATAAGAAGAAACTCACATTATCTTGCGCTATTCCCTCGAAAAGGAAAATGGCATCCAGGTTGCTCATCTGCAATCGCGAGATCAAATCATAGACTTCGAGTGCAAATTGAAGACATTCGGTATCGGATTCACCTGGGTTCAGGTGAGCCACCAGGAGACGAAATAAATCGTCTCCGTCAATTACCAAAAAGGAATTCTGCAACTCATAGCATTCAAAATTCAAGGGATTGGTAAAGAACACAGATTCCAAGCTGAATTCCGACATGATAACCAAAGGAGTGCGGGAGGATCGCTATAGGTACTGGGCAGAAAAAACGGGAAAAAGTAGAAATGAAAGACATGGTTTACTTGTGCTGATAAACAACGGCATCGTGAGAACACGAAAAGGTATACGAAGTAACCGTTGGATGAATGAACTTTCAACGTTCAAAGTCAGTTATACTAGTAGTATTGTATTCAAAACTCTTATTATTTTTCACACACGTCTGACGTCTGTCAAACAAATCATGGTACAATAATCTTTATAAAAAAAGGCGCTCCATGATCGGCATGGGGTTGAATACTGCCAGGTTGCTAAGACCAAGACAGAAATTGAAAAGATGCACGAACGCCACTGCTCACGACACCCAACCATATCACTCAGTGTGGCTTACCGTCATCATCATTGTACAGCGAGATACAGTGAAGTGAACTACACTGATCGCTGCCAAACTCACAATGCATACAAAGTTAGCGGTAAAATTTAGGGTGGACAGGGATTGGATCTATTTTAAGGGAGAGAGGTGAATCACTATGGTCAACACAGAGTACGCAATCGAACTCTGCATACATACCGTTTCAAGCATTCTGACCTGATAAGAAACGACAACAAGAACGCC